TACAAGTTTGTCAGGATCTGAGAACAGAAATCGCTTTCCACCTGATGTAACCATAGCAACCGACGGCTGCTTCAGCGTAAGTTTTGGACGACACGCTGTCAAAATAAGTGAACGCTGTCATCATTTAACAATTTAGTATAGTTTTACATATCACAAATCTGAAACCAAATCTCTTGTGGTTAAAAGAGTTGACATTTGCCTAACTGCACTAAAAGAAAAGGAAAACTGGGTTGCGTTCACGATTTTGCACCATACTTCTTTAAAAAAAAATCGATCTTTTGAAAGTCACAGAAGAGCCTACATAAAGAACCGGGTAAGAACGGTTCTTTTTGAGAGTGTACAGCGTTTCTGTGGCTGACTGACCATACAATCGTCCTTTTTAAGTTTCTCTAGATTACCCACCTTCTGTGCTTGCGCGATGGCCTTTCTCACAACCTCTTTTATATGCGTCGTCTGTCCGTCCACTGGCGGTTGCGTGAACACATTGACGCGCGTCACTCCGCGGTAAGAACTGCAGTCTGGCCATCCGAGGTCCAGATTCGGTATGGAGGTATCAGAGCGGTCCGGCCAATACTGCAATGAAATCGCACCGTCCTCTCCCTCTGTCGTACCATCTGGTTTTTGATGCTCAGAACCGGGTTTATAATCTTCTATGCTCCGACGCAACCACTCGAGTTCGGGTTCCGACAGGAAAGGACGCAGCTCGTGCTCTTTCACATGGGCGTCAAACGCGTCGCGTCCTTTCGTAATAAGCGCTTCAAGCGCGAGCCGCTGATCCTCGCTGTAAAAAAACTCTGGTTTGGATTCATTCAGACGCCAGTTCACATGATTGTCATCAAGACACTGAACCTGAGAGAGAGCCATCGCGTTTCCACACACAAACCGAATTAAAGCGGGTTCTTATTTCTTCTCGTTATTATTATTTAAGTGTCACTATAATCCCAGAAAAGTATAAAAACTCTTAGTAAAGGTTGTTAACTACTAGAAAACTCCTTTTGCAATCGAGGTAAAGGGTTTCCATGGTAAAGTGAGACCTGGCGATTCAATCGATTTTTTTCTTGTCAAAAATAAAGCGGCTCAGCGATAACTTGCGCACCAAAAAGCTCGTTTTTTTCATAAAAATAAAGGCGATATTGTTTCTTAAAGTTATAAAAGATGCCTCATATGTTATTTGATCATGTTCCCCGAGCAGAGTCCTACTTCAGTACAGGACGCAGTTGACCGCTGAGCCGGAGATCATCTTTCAGTTAACCAACAGGTAGAATTGAACAAAAGCATCTCCACAGGCACTAGTGATTAGACACACCTCAGTCACCTGACCGGGAGGGGCAAACACACACACACACACACACACACATACATACGCGCAACAGACTGCAGCCAAACCGACTGGATTCGAGTTTAGGGTCTTCCACAAAAGCATGAACCCTGGAAACCTCCGACGCCGACGAAAAACAAGCTTCCGGATTGTTCACCAGAGTGTTGCAAGTTAAACAAAACTTTTTTCCACGTCTCCCGATATAAATAATGTCCTGAGTTTGTTGTCCAGTAAAGTCCTGTGGGGTTTTGTGTTACTTTGCCCTACTTCTGTGGCGCTGGAAAGAGGAAGAGGCTGGCTGTCTGGTTGCATGAGCGCCGATGACGCGGCGTGCAGCCGAATGTTACACGGTTGAGTCAACAGTTACGTGGGTTTGGGCGGGGTATCCGGGAAGAAAAAAGTTGCAGGAAACCAAAGAAGGTAAAAGAAACACTTCCTATTTCCTCCCCCTGACTTTGTATAAGTAGGCAGACACTTAAATTGACTCCTGGGGCTAGTTCTGCCACAAGAACTTTATTCTTAATCCATTTGCATTAATGTGCATTTTTTTCTTCTAGCAATGGTTTTATATATCCTGCTATCCAGACAGTTAACTACAGCTTCTGTTTGATATATTTGATAGTTTGATATAGGATTTGTATGTTACTATTTCCATTTTCATTAATGATTGTCACTGATTATTTAGTATCAGTTTGTTTTTTTAATCTTATTATTATTATTATTATTATACTTATTAATTAGGCCAGGGATTCTTAAATTATTTTGGCAGCTGGACCCCTTTAACCTAGAGTATTTACCTGAGATTTTAAGATAATATTTCAATATTTGTACAGTAATTTTGCATATCCATGGTTTTCTGATGGTTAATGATAATAATATGCAGATAAATAAACAGGCCTTCTTGAAGCATCTTGGAGACGTTGTCACAGTTCTTCTGGATTTAGTCTGTCTCAGTTTGTTCTGTTT